CATGCATATCAGGTGAAAAGTGTAGAAAATGCACATTATTGGGTTCTGTTTTTCATTTTCAAGTGGTCGGGTTATTTTAAAGATACTTCACAGAGTTTCTTTTGGTGTAAAAGTTCTTGTATTGATGGTGTTAATGAAGTCCAAAATTGGTCTGGACCTTCTGAACTGAATGATTGTCCCCAACCTGTGCCTGAAGTTAGACTGTCCAGTCGTCTAAGCTCTTTTCTCTTTGGTTTACATTAGGTTTTTTTTTTTTTTTCATAGGATTCAAAGAAAGAGCAAAGGAAATTTACCCTAATCTGTGTTTAACTAAATCTCTATCAATTTTGTCTAAAATGTTTTTTTTTTCTTTAGGATAAGAGAACAAGTTATGAGTTTGTGGTCAGTGGCCACCAGATTTTCTTCTAAATGTCCTGGAAATTTAAGGAACAACTTACAAGCTTAAAGGTAAAGTTTCCAATAGCTATCACAACAGAACATAAAAAAAACTGCCTTCCAAAATCAACCACTAATTTTTTTTAATAATTTAATTGTTGCTTTACACACCTAGTGATTCTAGGATGCTACTTTTTGCTGCAGATTTTTAACAATGAATTCAAGATAAATGTACATAAAGGTCCATCCGCATTTGTCACAGTTCCACTGTCAGTTGAGCGTTCCACACCTCTAAGAAATGGCATGCATGCCCTCCTGCCTCGGCTATTTCTAAAGACTTTCTAGTGAATGTCTTTGAAATAGCAAATTTTTGAGACAGCATAGTTTCTGGTGCAAACTTATTTTTATACAGAACTGGGAAGTCATTGAATTATAAAACACCAAGTATTTTGTAGGGGTTCTTAAATTATCAATAAATGTTGGTCTAGCCATTAATGAAAAAATAAATACCGGTATGTTAAAAAGCTAAATCAATAAATTAATTCCATTTGCACATGTTTTCCAGTAGTTCTAGTGACTGTATAGAACTCCTCAATAAACTGCAAAAATGAACTTAAAACCAATGTCAGGATCTGTGGAGTTTTATAAAGGGCCTAAAGGCAGAGAGGTTTTTTGCAGCTTTAATGGTGAGATAGATGGTACAAAAACATAAATCTAGAGGTAATGGGCAGGGAACTCAAATCTAGGAGGCGGTCAGGAGAAACAAACATAAGATTGAAGAGAATCCAGCACTGAGGAAGCGCAGAAGGGGAGTATATATGGGAAAGAGAACAAAGAGTGGCATGATCAGCTAATTGGGAGCAGGTGTGGACAAAAGCAGCTAAGGGGAAAGGAGAGGGGCAACAAGGAGTAAACATAGCTTACCAAAACTAAAATAGAACTTAAACAAAGCAAAAGAGAAATAAGATCATTGACTTGAAAATAAAGAATGACCAAGGAAAAAACTAGAAGAGAAGGGACTGGAGATAAACATAAGCTAGGGATAAGAGAAGGAATAATTATAACTAAAACTAGACCAAGGAATACCAAAAATTCAAGTACCAAAAATGCTGAAAAGAGATAACAAGGACTAAGAAAAACTAAGAATTCAAAAATGATATAAATCTTGACATTACAAAATAAAATAAAATAAAGCATACTTGAGAAACCAAAATGAAAACTTTAAACAGACCCAAAAAGTCCAGAAAAGCAGATCATGACACACATTTGAATAAATTACTTAAGATCATTTTAAAGAGTACAATTTGTTGATTAAAAAAATAAAATAAAAAATGGAAACTGAACAAATGTGAAAGAACCCTTTTTTAGTAATGTTCAAGCAACCTCTAGTGGTCACAAAATGTACTCAACCTAGAAAACACTAAATGCCATTGCTGTAAATCTACTGTGGGTGTAGGTGTGAAAATACAAGGCAAGCTGAGTTACTATGGATTTGCATTCATTGAAAACTGAAAGGTTTAGAACATGGAAATTATCTGTTTGTGTCTGAAAAAGCAGAAAATTAACCTATATGCAATTTTGATAGATTTGTGATTTACTTAAGACACATTTACATTTTAATTTGTTAAATAATTACAAGCTCATAATATGGCATTTAAAAAGCTGTTTAATATAAAAATAAATCAGACTGAGAGGACAGAGAACCTTTGCTTGGTGTAATTATAAGGCTTTCAAAAAAAAAAATAACAATGCAAAAGATGCATTGTAGTGTCTGTCGATCTAAAAATAAAGTTATTTTTTCCACTTGGACATGAAGAATCTAAATTAAAAAATGTATCTAATCTGAATAACATGGCAGGTAAATTAAAAACATTGAGAAATGATTGGTGTTTTTCTAAATGATAAACAGTAACAAGAAACAAAAGCCTTAAAGGGATGCTTCTATAATTTATAAAAGAGACATTTCAGAAGCTTTCATCTGTTTTTTTATGCAGATAAAAACGGCTTACTGTTGGGCTCTGAATGTTTCTTATCTCTAGTATTGTTTAAGACTGAAAGAACAAACAGACACGAACTTGTTCTTAGCTCTGTGAAACAACAAAACAAACCCCATGAACTGTTTCTGCTGCATAAACTGCAGCAGACACATCAGATAGCGTTAAAGAATACCAGTACATTTATAGCTTTAATCAATGATTTCCTGACCGAGCATTATCAATCGTTGCTATAATAAGAGCTTGCGGCTTTGTACACATCAAATTTGTTTTAATGGCTGCACCTGTGTCTCTCCCCCACCCTGCACACGCCCTGCTGTGATAAAAGCTTGGCTGAATGTGCAGTGAAGCAAAAGTGGAGTAAGGGCAATTTGTCTGCAGATGGAGAGCAAACCTTTTTTATTTATTTATTTCTTCTTTTTTTTTTGTTGTTGTTGCCTTTTTGGCATTTGGTATATTGCAAAAGTTTTCCTTTATTATTTTTGCTTCTTAAACACTTTTTGGTGGAGTTAGAAAATGTACATTAAATAACTCTAAAAGTATATGTAACTAAACTATACAAGAAACAAAAGACAATTTTTGCATTCTCTTGGATCGATTTGACAATATTATTTACCACAGTTCACTCTGCCACATACTTTTTGGGTATACTGTACGACTGCTGCAAAAGTTTAGCTCTTTATCTCAAACAACTTTTCCATTCCACTGACATTTACAGCTTATAATTGGAGATACGTTTAATTAAAGGGCTTCATTCTTTTCCAGTGCTGCTGCTTCTTTAAAAGAGTAGATAAGGGGCAGACAAACATATGAATATATTTTTTCTTAGTATAGTATGTTTGCAAGAGGGATGCTAAAGATACTTCAAATGAAATATCTTGAGAAACATGGTGGTTTAAAGTGGTAGTTGCAATATAATGTATATATGTCTTTATATTTGTTCTTTTCAGTAGTAAAAATGCACTTTAATCCTTAATCAAAGCATGAAATGTTTTTGTTTTTTATTTCTGCTCTGCTTTTCTGATTATACTGTGATGCTTTCAACTCAGGCTAGTATCCCTCTAGCAGCCCCGCTTTGGACACCTGCTTCTGCATGTAAACAACTCTTTTGTTGTAATGTTTAATAACATGGTTACAAATAACAACAAACTAGAACCACAATATGAATCAATTTAGAAGAGCAATGTGGATAAAAATATAAGCAATTGATTTAAAACAAAACAAAAAAAGGAGCAACACCCTGGAGTTAACATTCTGGAATAATAAATATAAACAGTGAATTAGAGTTGCTGTTGCTAAGATACTTGATTTTTCATATTAGACAGAAACAAAATAATATTGCAACTTGAATATTAACTGACATTTGCAACTGAAAACAAACCAAGAAGCATTTATTTCAGGGAGATCATACCAGGTATGTTTAATTTTACTAATATTGTTGTGAAAAGGTTGTAAACCTAGTGAAAAGAATGCCAATACAACTTTGAACATTCTGTTAATGTGATATGTGTTTGATATATCTCTTATTTTATGTTTAATAAGTGTAATGCAATATTATGAGAAACAAAAGCTTAAAATTTTTTAAGAAATCCTTTTATATCACTTCATTTTCTAGGCTTTTTGGAAACCATTTTGATTTAAAATAAGCCTTTTGGGCTCAATGACTATAGTAACTGTTGGGACTGTTTTTTTTCCAACTTTTTATAAATATCACATTTTCCAAACATTTGAGGGCTCTGCTTTTATTTATTAATTAATTCAATTCAGGGGGCATATTCCTTTTTTTTTTTTTTTTTTTATTGCAGACCAGTATTAACCTGTGGGTTCACACAAAATTAGAAATTTTCTATTTCTATTTTCTATATCTGTCTGATTAAGACTACACTTATATACATGTTTAAGCCAGAATTATTGACATTGAATTACATTTAAATATGACTTTCTTATGACTTTACCAAGCATGTCTAATTCTTGTAAATCATCATGTTACCTAAACTACACAGTTCATTTGTAAAATGCACAAAAGTTACCTTTTTTGTAACTTACAAGAAAGGACAGTTATGCATTTGTTTGAATATGTTTATCTGGATTAATGGTAGCTTGAGAAGAATCATAAGTCTAAAAAAATAAAATTAAATAATAAATCTATGTAGCTTAAAGGTACTGTACAATGGAAGATTTTTGTGATTTTCTTTAAAAGACCCACCCTCTCTAATTCAAAAAATGTACATGCACAACCCTGTACCCGCTCCCAAGAGGGAATGTCTATTAAACGCGTGCAAGGACGTGCACAAGCCCATTTCTCCTCGTGCACACTCTTTTTAAAAGTTTGCTCTGCTCATACAAGCTTACTTTCCAAAAGAAGATTTACAAATTTTCTACTATGTCCTACTATGTCAGAGACATCATCAGAATATCAATTTGGAAGACCACTTATTTTGATGATCCACCCAGTAAAAGAACATCATCCACTATACCTTTCAGCATTCTACAAGTTTCTTAAAACAATTTTCACTTTGAAAGATTTTTACTTACTGAAATGCCACACATATAAAAGACATATGCCTTTTAAGATGAGTAATGCACTCAGTATAATATTTCTCCCTTTTTGTAGTGTTTGATTAGAATAAAATGGATGAAGCTTGGGATCAACAAATGATCTATGCGGCACAGACAGGAGAGGGAGCATCTGGTGGCCAGAACCTGGAAATCTCCTTCACTAAAGGACAGATGGCAATGCAACCCCAGGGGAACATTGGACTTCATAAGAAGATGGCAAAGTTATTTCATCAATACAAGAAAAAAGGGTAATCAGTTTAAATAAGGAATACATAAAAGGGGTCGAACCCTTGTCCTCAAGATCTACTGTCCTGTAGCCTAATTCCAATCACTGAATTAACATCTAAACATGATATCAAGTTTTGGAAAAGCTTGGTAATGAGACGTTCATTTGATTCAGCTGTGATGGAGCAGGACTGCATCTAAAACCTGCAGGACAGTAGACTTAAATCCCCTGCCTTAAAGCGTTGGAGGAGGAAAACTGCTTTTTTATTAGTTTTCGCAGATGGGTTACAGGAATAATGCAGAGTTGTTTTTTTTTTAACTATTGGTAGTCGTAATTATTTGTGTAAATATTCTTCTTCCTCATAAATCAATTAATTTTTCAAATTGTTGTTCATTGTGTCCAAGAATAGATATATGGATTGCACCTTCCTAAAAATCTTTTTAGTCATGTTATATTGAGTTATTTCCTCTCTATCATTTACTCAGTGCTATCTCCTGAGACATATAGTTGGATAAAATTATATGTATCAATTATATGATCAATATAATGAAGTGCTTACAGTTGTCTGACATTGTCCATGTCAACAAAAGCTGTGGGAGAAAACAATTTATTTGTTTGTATAATAAAATGATTATTGTTGTTCTTTTTATAGGCTTTACTGGGCAATAAAAGGGGGGTTTTTGGTGGCATGAAGGAATATGTCGCCTTAGTGCAGCAAATCCTTAAAGCATCTGTTTCTCACCCATCAAGGAATAGAAGCATTTACATTACGAACAAAAAGATATGCTTGTCAGATAATGGATGTCTTTGAGAGAATAGTGGAAGCATAATGGGTCAGAAGTCTTATTTAACCTGCTATCTCAACAGGGATGAAACAATCTTCAAAAAGTACGCAGTCAGAGTAACTTCAGACCACTCTCCAAATGATGCGAAGATTTCACTCACAGTGGCTGAAAAGGAGGTGAGACCAAACGGACTAACTTTTCCAATCATTAAGGGCAACTTTTTTTTTCTTTTTTCTTTTTTTTTGTAAGGTTTAATCCTCCCAATAAGATTTGAATATAGGTCAATAATCCTTTTGGATTATTTATGGGAAGACAAGCAGTCTCTCAATTCAAGCTAAACATCTATATTTTTATTTGCATTACAATGAAATGTTGCAGTTTATTTTTATTGCTCTCAATATAATTATTGGTCAGATCAAATTTCTTTTCACATTGATATCCATTTTTTCTGTCACTTATGCTCTAAGTTCTGTGAAATGTTCTCTCTTAAACAGAGCTCTGTGCTGTTCAGCGTGGAAAACTCTGGTCTCCAACAAGTTTATTTCACCCTTCAGAACTTTGATTTTGTGGAAAACATTTTCACCATCAGAGACTGCGATGGAAACCTTATCAGAACAATCACAGACCACCTTCTCTTGCCTGGTATGTGAATTTTTGACAGTTGAGAGCAGATGAAAGGTTTAGCTAATACAAGGAAAAAATATTTTGTCTTAAATACTTTATGTTCTGGTTCCAGGTGACTCATACGATATAAAAATCAATTTCACCTCTGACCACCCTGGCTTCTATGAGCAAATCCTGGTTTTTAAATTTAAGAGAGGCTATGACCATCCAGAATTTTTCGAGATTATGCGCCTCTTGGAGGTTGAATTTCAAATAGCTCAGAGTGAGAAGGACTGTCTTCATGGCTCAGAGGTTAGGAAGAGGTTTCAGACTGCAAACAGGAGACCTTTTACTCGGTAACCAGATAACTTTTTTCTGTTTTTCCACCTTTGTTATGTGGATCAACTCATGTCCAAAATTAATTTGTTTGTCGTCCACTTCTTTAGCGGTGAGAACTTAGCTACACCGGTGGTGCATCTCAAGAAATACCCCATAACCAAGAACTTTCGAGAAAATAAAGAAATACAAGAGTACGTATGTGTTATCATCAAATTATAGCGTTTTTTTCCCCCTGTAAATTGTAAATAAATGTCTATACATCAGGGTGATCAGATTACAATACATCTTTGCTGATTGTAAAAAGTGTTGCTTAATGTACATTTTTCTAAATGTATAATGTAAGCATTTGGGATGTGGTCATCTTTATACCATTGGGATTTTTCAGGATTTTGAGATCAAATCCCCTCAACTGGGGGAACTACAGCAGGAGATTTCATCTACTGCTTCATCTCGAGGAGTACAAGATCAGGAAAGACATTCACCAATGCAGCCTGAATAAAGTGCCTCTCACCTTTTACGAAATGGACAAGAACATGTTGGTTGTAAAGGTAACACCTTTCACTAAGACACAAAGTTATTTCAACCTTCAAACTCTTTTTATGTGGAAAATATGACTTTTTGCTAATGTTACTTGAACTTCAGGCAGAACATTTCTTGAACAAGTCTCTGACAGTGCTGACTGGATGTATAGTTGAGGTGACTCCTTTGAAGCAGAAGATGGACAAGGTTTTCTACAAAGGATGGGTCGATGATGTGGATGAGGAACAAATCTACTTGAGAATTTATGAAGAGTAAGACACAATTCATTTGAAAAGAATCAACGATTTTCTTTTTGTCTTGTCCATTTAGGCAATATTAACTTAGTCTCCATCTGCTATCAATTTGTTAAAAATAATTAGAAAAGATTTTTCTCTGTTGGTGTAAATTTTTACATGTAGAACATCAACAAAAGCAGATACCCATCAATCATTTTAAAGGCAGAATGAAATTTGGACAAGATGTTCTATCAATATTTATCAACATTTGGAATAAAGTAAGGAGTTACTTATTGAGTGTCTTGAAAAAGTTTCTACACGCCCTAAAAGAGAATATTTTAAATATCTTGCCATGTTAAACCAATATCCTAGTGTAAATTATCCAATATAATTTTATTTGTTTAGCACTAAAAGAAAAACAACCACAGCTGAACAAAGAGCTGTACAAAAAAAAAAAAAAACTGATAAAACTGTACAGATAAAACCAAAACAGCTAAAATGTGGGTAAAAATAACATTCACACAATTAAAGGGGAACGTGTTTTTTTAACATTTGGCCCTTGATTTTACGTTATTACCGGTACATCATGTTCTACTCACCCATATGAGTGTTGTGTCATTCGGAGCCGTTCTAAATTATGAACAGTTTAGTTTGTGCCTTTAAGTCATTTGCCCATAGGAAGACATTATTTGGATATAACCTAACGGAATATCTTCAGAACAGCTCCAAATGACACAAAACTCATACGGGTGAGTAGAACATGATTTGATAATGTAAAATCAAGGGCCAAATGTAAAAAAAAAAACGGCGTTCACCTTTAAATCAATAAAATTGTGTAAAAGATAAATAAAAAAATAAAGCCCTGTCTGGCTAGGAGTTAAAAGTTTTGACAAGAGATTTAAAAACAGTTAGATAAGAGGTCTGTCTGATGCGCTGAGGCAGGTCATTCCAGAGGTTTGGAGCTGCAACAGTGAAAACGTGGTTGCCTCTGGTCTTCTGCTTAGTTTCAAGGTCTCTCAAGAGCAGCTGTCCAGCTGACCTGAGAGAGCGAGTAGGTCTATAAGGATTTAGAAGCTTAGAGAGCTATGGTGGGGTAAAACCAGTCAAGGATTTAAAAGCAAATAAAAGAATTATAAAATGAATTCTAAAATGGATGAGCAGCCAGTGGGGTGAGGCTAAAATGGGTGAGATGTGTTCATACTTGTGTGTGCCAGTTAAAAGGCGTGCTGCAGTTATCAAACTGCGTGCGGCAGATGGGAGATGGAGGAGGAACTAACCCTTAAATAGAGGCCATTGCAATAATCCAGGCATGGATTACCGTTTCAAACTGTTGCCTTGAAAAAATTGGCTTTATTTAGGCCAGCTGTCTCAAATTATGTTTGTGGAAGAGAAGACATATTATTTATCGTTTAAAAAGTCTTCTACAAAAAAAAATCGGAAGTTTGTTAGTATCTATTTTCTACTGCTTTTACTTGAAAAAAAATAATGTGACTATTTTTCTGTGGAAATCATAAAAGTTTGATAAATAACAGTTCAAAATAACAGAATAACAGTACAAAATAACAAAATAACAGAATAACAGTACAAAAAGTACATAATTTTATTGCTGTTACTCACTACATTATTACGGTTGACTAAGATAAACTTCAGAAATTGCTTCAAAAAAGCAGAAACTAAAACAGAAAAATGAAAACATTATTAATGCAGTTCTGTGGAGTAGACAGTTGGTTTGTTAGAGAGAGGCAGGAAGCAAATAGGCTTACAGGAGATCGAGGTAAATACACAGTTAAGAAGAAGTTGTGTAGATGTTTACATTACAGTATGTTTATATTGTCATCTAGGTTCAGTAATCAGTGCATCATGCTACGCAGAAACTTCTTTGCTGTATATAGATGTAGGAAAATTCTGTCTAAAATGTAAAACATGCATCTTCAATTTCAATTGAAGTTTGTTATGTTTGTTTTTTATTGCTAAATATGTTGCTTTGTTATTATAATTCAGCCTCCCAGAAGATTTTCAAAACGAAGTGGCCTGCAGCCTTGTGTTTTTACTCCATCGAATGCCACTGCGGATTCAGCACAGAGCAGCAGATTTAGTACGCAAACATCAGCTGAGGGATCTAGTCTTCCCTACACAACATTCATGTCTCGCACCTCCAATCCCCAAATTAATAAGGTGGGCATGCAGTAAAATCCACACCATCGCTACAATCAATGCCAGTTATCAATGGAGTAAATACAGTCCAATCTCCCATCTCCAGGACACCAGTGCTTGAAAGCAACCCAGAGCAGTGCAGAGCTGTTGAACACATACTGGCCCGTTCTGCAAAACCTGCTCCTTACCTGATATTTGGTCCACCAGGCACAGGTACAGTACAAGTTTTTACATGCTAAGGCCACCCAGCCCTGCGGTAAATTGAATATAGTTTTCTCTCACCCATGCCTCAGGCAAATCAGTAACCTTGGTTGAAGTCATCAAGCAGATAGTGAAAACACAAGACTGCAACATCCTAGTTTGTGCACCATCCAACAGCGTAACGGACCACCTCTGTAAGAAGATCCTAGAAGAAAACATTGTCCCCCGCCAAGTGTTTCGCCTGTACTCCTTAAGCTACAACGCAAATAAGATCCCGGAAAGCGTGAAGGTTTGGATTATGCCTCTTTTAGTTTTGTTATGGCAACTCAAATGAAGATGAACAAATGAAATGTAAACAGAGATGTTTAAAATCTACCTGGGAAAAATAACATTCCTCTTTTCGTGCATAATGTGCCCCGTCTTTTAACAACAGGAACACTGCAGCTTTGATGGTACAGAAAACTATTTTGAAATACCGACCAAAGAGGAGCTGATGAGTTACAAGATCATGGTGACCACTCTTCAATCTGCTGGAAGGTACACTAATTTTTTTTGTAAGGAATGCCATAATGTCCCAAAACCAATCATGTAATTTCAGAACAAGAATCAGCCGATAAAAACTCATTACAATATTTTGTCAGAATTAATACTAGGCAATCTGATGAAGAGGCACTAATTTTGTAGCATTTCATTAGTTTGAAAAAGTCTTCATAATAAAAATGATATGTCTCTGTACAGCACTGATTCAGTTTAACCACTTTAACCACATGTGTTACAATGGCAGCTGTTCACTGGTAGTGTGGCTGACAAATTTTAGACCAGAAACAGGCAAGAAAAAGAATGTTTTGTCAGGATAAACCTTGATTGACACCCTGAGCCATGTTTGTTAAAGGAACGTGGCAGTGTTTTCTTGGAAAACTCTCTCCTTTGGAGCAAATTCTTGTTTGATGGTGGCACCTTTTTTTATTTTTATTTTTTAATTTAAACTAATTTTATAAAGTTTTACTAAATTTGCAGCAGGCTTGAAGCTTTGATTAGAGTTTGAAATTGCTTAAGAGCAATAAATGAAACACCCATATGGCAATCTGTCTAATGATTAACCTTAAATTACAGAATGTAAAAATATATACTTCCTCTTTTTTACAGGCTAGTGACAGCTGGGGTTCCTCCAGGTTATTACAGTTACATCATTGTGGATGAGGCGGGCCAGGCTAAAGAACTAGAATGTTTGATTCCAATAGCTGGTGAGTTTCTGTTTATTTTTTGTTTAAAATGTCCCATTAATGATACATTTCATTAGATGTGCCTTTAATGGATTCCTACAGGATTGCTGAAACCAAAAACAGGCCAGGTAGTTCTGGCTGGAGACCCGAAACAGTTAGGCCCCGTCATCATCTCAACTATCGCAGAAAGATTTGGCCTGGGTAAGCACCATGCAAACAGTGTTTTGTCAGTGTGTGAAAGTTTTAAGACATATCGTAAAACATGCTGCTTTTTGAATGTTTTATTGACCCAGACTGGGTTTTATTTATTGGTTTTCAGCACTGCTGTGCAAGTTCTGATAATTTATATGTTGGTTATCAATCTTCAATCAAATTTAATTGTTTTAAATTTGAGTTTTTCCAAATGCTATTAACCAAAGGAAAATTAAATTAAATGAGTGAACTATTCTATGAAAAAATTGTGCCTGAATAATAAATAATCTGTATCAGAGAAGAAAATAAAAGAGAAATAGCCTGTTTTTTTAACAGTGGAAAATTTAGATTAACCAACAGCAAAGTTACAGCCATATGGAAGCATGCAGATACAGTAAACACAAGACTAAATAATATTAATATTCATTTGGAACAAGTGACCAAGTAGTAAGAGGAAGTTTGCAACATAAGAACAAAATGCAGTACAGTTATGGAAAAAAGAGATTTAAAAAAAGAATAAGCAAAAGCTGTTGGTAGTAATCCATGAAAAACACCATCGGACTTTAAAAAGAACGAAGAAAAGTCAAAAAGCAGTGATTTAAACACAGAGTTTGCACATTGCAGGCTGGTAGGTACATTGCAGCGGACCTAATGCAGACCTCACCATGTGCGAAGATGGTTAAGTACCAACCTGTTGTGGGTCTTCTTCAATTGCAAGATCAGTGCTTGTAGCTGCTTTGGTCAGTCAGATGTGGGGCCTACTGGTACCACACAGGAGGTAGTCCACAGATGTGGTGCATTCCCCAGCTTCAGGCTTAGATTAAACATGTATCGCACACAGTCTATCTACATAGACCTTCAGGAGCCTCTGTACTGATGCCATCTAGAACTCTAGTATCTTGCATTCATTAAGCAACATACTTAGCTTGAATTTAGTGGATTAATGTATATTTTTAGGTAATGCACATAATACATTATGCATAATGCGTGTATTTATATCATGTTATGAATTTTTTTGTGTGTTCTGTCCTGTCTTTAAGAAGAAGAAAGCTTATTATCTTATTTGTTTTATTCTCACTGCTTATTATTCAAGTGTTGTGATGGGGATAGGAGGAAGTCTAGGTGTTGCTAAATAGGTGTATTTCTAAAAGCACAATCCCTAAAGATAAACATGCATGACAATAAGCAGCTTAAAGTTTTGAGTCAGCTGTAGTTTGTAGATATGTTGCAAGTAAGTTATCTGTTAACTGCTTTGAATTCTTGGATATAGTTTTTAATGCTTTCTGGAAGTCCTTAAGTACTTTACTCTGCATTTAGCCACTCTGCTCACTTCTTATCTGTATCTGAGAATTTTTTAGAATGGATTTATTTTTCCATTTGTTTAAGCTACCTGACTCCGACCTCTTAATCTCCTAGGTTTAAAAAGACTGTTATACTTATGGGCTGAAACAGAATAAAGTCTACTCCCAAAAGCCGGTTTTGAAAATAAAATGATTAGAGTGTTTATGTCTGCAATAATTACTTCTTAATTAATAATAACTAAAAATTACCTTTACGTTTTTAAACAAGCAACTTATTCAGTTGTTTGCAACTTTATTCAGTTCAGAATCCTACAATATTCATAGCGTTTTTGATGCGGATGTTTTATGCTTCTGCAGTTGGATATTGAATAGAATAGAAAATCCCTTTATTGTACCACAATAGGGAAATTCAGTTGTTTACAGCACCAAAAAGATTATAGAAAAAATGGTCACACATATGTGGACCTTAGAAAAATGTTTAAAGAATAACATACTAGTGAAGAGTTAAAAGATAAACAATAAAATACTGTAAAGTGTTTTAACAATATAAATCTGTGCACCTGGAGAATAAATAACCATTATAGAGCTGTGGACATTTTTACAGTAATGGGTATTTGAAAATAGCAGCAACATCAGAGATGTGCAAAATACAGAAGCATGTTATTTAACTGACAAATAAACTGTACAAAATCAGCCTTAATGTAACAACTTATTGAGGTGTTTGGAAACAGTGGTGGTTATAGAGTCTTACAGCTGCTCAGAGGAAGGATCTGTGATGACTCTTACTTGGGCATTTAGCGTGCAGCAGTCTGTCACTGTAGGAGCTCTCCAGTTCTGCAACTGCTTCATGCATGATGTGGGAGACATTATCCAACAGAGATGTTAATTAAGTTAGGACCATTTTGTTTTCCACCTCTGGTACTGAGTCCAGAGGGCATCCAATCACAGAGCTTGTCTTCTCGATCAGCCTATACAGATATTGTACAGTATTAACAATCATTTGTAGATGTTTTTACAGCATGGCTTCTAGCTTGGATGAAATATGAAAGAATATCTGTGGTCAAAGTCCAGGATGAACAAATGGGCTGACTTTCAGTTTTTGGGTTACAGCTACATTTTGACCAAATGCAACAGTTGAAAATGTTCATATTATAACATTTTGTGAATTAAATAAACACAAAGACCAGTTGACCTACAAATAACCATTAAAAGGTGCTCATGGTATCTAGTTTTAGGG